AAAATGTTAATAAGTTAGGTAAAGTATTTCGAGATCAGATGAGATATTTGCCTAAACTTAATAAGCATAAATTTATTAGTTTATAATACTTTTAAATGCAAGTTTTCTTCACCCTAAAATGAAGTTTTAAACTATATAACAAATGCCCTAGTAAGCCCATAAGCATAGATAACTCTAACTAAATCTCTTTTTAAATTTCTTAAAGCCCCTCCATGGCTTTCTATTGTTGATTACGATTAACGTAATTGCGAGTAACTGTCATGTCCCTATATTATGGAGTATTCCCTTGAAGAGTATCTAAGGTTAAATAAATTTCCACCAGGCCTCTCATGCGTTTACATGCCTCTCACGCAGCAGCTGCTTTTACTGAACCTCTGCCACACACACACATATCTAATTTTAAACATTTTTCAAACTCAATTACATTCCGAGAAGTCGCTCTCCAGAGGGAGATCGGAGATATAAAGGGCTGGGGTAGAGTACTATATGTGGTGCTGCTCCTGCCAGGTAATTGCTTGCAAATTACACAGTAACGCACAGGGCCTAACCCTGGGAAGTTCTTCTTTGCCATAAGAAACGGAGACAAAAACTGCGAGTTGGGGAAAACTTTTCAACACATCTGCCCAAAAGTTGAGAGACAGAGACTCCTCGTAATGAAATCAAACAGAGACACCGGCGGCATGGAGTTGGGCAGGGGGTGGAAATCATCTTAAATTAGCAGCAAAACTCGGCAATTATGCGAGAAGTTGGCCAAAAAGCAGTTGCCAACTTCGCATTCCACTCTCTCCTTTTCATTTTTTTTGTTCTGTGTGGGTGTGCTTCCTTGTGTGTGTCTTTTCTTTTTTGAGCAAATGCTAATGACTTGAAGTGCCCGCACAAAGTCAAAGAGAAAGCGAAACGAGAGTGTGAGAGAGAAAGTCAAGCCACAGGTTGACTACTGACAAACACATTGACAGCGACGCGCCGGAAACGGCAGCGTCGAACAGCACAAAATGGCTGTTTGTTTGCTTCCGGTCTGGGGTCCTAAGACGGCAAACACATTTAGCCACGAAGTGAGGAAAGTGCCGCACCCTCGTACATATTTTATGCAAACGAAGGGCACCCATAGCACTCTACTGCTCTCGTTTTCCCCCGAAAGGGAAACCCACTCTCTCGAAAGGTGATGCTCACCGCAAACTTAAAATGGAAAACCGCGACTTTGCTCCAAAAACCTTCCGTTGGCCACATTCAAAATGCTCTAGTTCATATTAATAATTCATAAAAATTTATGTGAAATAGACAACGTTTGCCGCGTTTCTGTCAGTCGGTCGGTTGGTCGGTAAAAACCTGGCTGACAGCTGCCATTTTGTGGCCAGTCTGTGGGGTAAATGAAGTCGACTCCGCCAGCTGTTTTGTGTATTTAATATGCATTCGCTGTTGTTTTTATTCTACTCTTTGTTTACATAATATACAGCTGCTGCGAAAGCCAGGAAAATACAACCATGTTGATGTTGCTCGTTCACTTCATTGTTTTCTGTAGCGAATTTATTTTCTACATGTTTATGCTTACATTTTTAAACAAGGTCGAGTTTAGAGGGTTTTTTTCTGAATGGAATGTAACTCGAGTAGAAACATGAATGTATTGGGAAATATTTCAACGGAAAGTCTATCATAATTTAAAGAGAAAAGGAATTTGTAGTAGAAATGCATGCCTTATTATTATTATTTTTAAATTTTAAGTATTATTTTTATACCCTTGCAGGGTATTATAATTTCAGTCAGAAGTTTGTAACGCAGTGAAGGAGGCACCTTCGACCATATAAAGTATATATATTCTTGATCAGGATCAACAGCCGAGTCGATCTAGCCATGTCCGTCTGTCCGTCTGTCCGTTTCTACGCAAACTAGTCTCTCAGTTTTAAAGCTATCTTAATGAAACTTTGTAGTTAGCCTTCTACATATGTCGGAACGGGCCAGATCGGACGACTATATCATATAGCTTTCATAGGAATGATCGGAAAATTTTTACAAAAAAAATTATAAAAGTTTCAGTTTTCAGCAGATTTTTATCAAATTTGAGATATACCCATTTTATTATACTCAACAATTCTGTGTAAAATTTTATGTAAATCGAACTACTATATCATATAGCTCCCATAGGAACGATAGAGAAATTAATACAATTAAAAATTACAACTATTTCAGTTTTAAACAGATCATCATCAAGTTTGAGGTGTAGCCATTCTATATTAGTCTTAAATTTTGTGTAAAATTTCATGAAAATCGGACGACTGTATCACATAGGTGCCAAACAAACGATCGTTTGGTGTAGAGGAAAAATGCAAATCTTTGAATTGCAAATATAAATATGTTTAGGTGAATGAAATGAAAACAGGTGTTACTTCATTGTTTTTAATCATAAATATATATAATTTATATTGTAGGGATTCCTACTCATAGAAGTTCAAGGTAAGTACACTAATCATATATTAAAAACTTATTTTATATACAAAAAAAAAACATGAATAATTTTCTTAATACCTTTGAAGTTAGCTACGTATTAAGAGGTCAAATATTAAATATATCATAACTAAGCCAAAAATGCATTAATTTCAGTTTTAATTAGGGTAACAAATCTGCATACTCAATTTAAAAATTAAAAAAATTCAAATTTTCGTCAATTTTTACATTTTAACGATACCTCTTATAAAAATTTAAAATTGTCAAAAAATTTGAGAAAATTAAATTTATGCCGGACCTGGCTAGATCGATTCGGCTGTTGATACTGATCAAGAATATATATGAATAATACGATCGGAAATGACTCCTTCACTAAGTTTTAAGCTTTCGACTGAAAGATAGGCTTTGTTTAACTATTTGGTACATAGAGCGCTCTCCTCTGCGATTCTCAAGTCTTACACTTAAGCAAGGCTCTAGCTAGAGAAAGTTTAGTTTTCTTCTTCTTCTTTTATATAAATTACTAATTTAGTGCTTGGTGGTTGATAGAGTTTGATCAAGTGGATGTGGCAACCATGGCTAGATCGAGTCGGCTGTTGATGCTGATCAAGAATATATATGAATAATAGGATCAGAAATGACTCCATCACTAAGTTTCAAGCTTTCGACTGAAAGATAGGCTTTGTTTAACTATTTGGTACATAGAGCGCTCTCCTCTGCGATTCTCAAGTCTTACACTTAAGCAAGGCTCTAGCTAGAGGAAGTTTAGTGTTCTTCTTCTTCTTTTATATAAATTACTAATTTAGTGCTTGTTGGTTGATAGAGTTTGATCAAGTGGATGTGGCAACCATGGCTAGATCGAGTCGGCTGTTGATGCTGATCAAGAATATATATGAATAATAGGATCAGAAATGACTCCATCACTAAGTTTCAAGCTTTCGACTGAAAGATAGGCTTTGTTTAACTATTTGGTACATAGAGCGCTCTCCTCTGCGATTCTCAAGTCTTATACTTAAGCAAGGCCCTAGCTAGAGGAAGTTTAGTTTTCTTCTTCTTTTTGTTTGTTTTTTATATAAATTACTAATCTAGTGCTTGGTGGTTGATAGACTTTGATCAAGTGGATGTGGCAATCATAAAAATTATAGTTTTCTTAATTAAGGTAAGACGTTAATAAAATATCTCTTAATAATTGAAACCAAAACAAGGCCCAAAAAAGTCAAGATACATAAAAATATGGTTTATATTAAATTATTGTTCAATTACCATACCCATACCCGTGTTGACTAGCTTATTATTGATCTCGAAAAGTCTTCCAAGGTCTCTTTAAGAGCCGTGATGATCATGACGAGCGGGGATATGGTGTCATTAATTTGTTTATAGTAAAGTATACTTATCTCCCGAAAATAGTTTATTCAGCACAACTTACTAAACAAAGAACACAACAATGGTGATGATCGAACGGCTCAATATAAAATATATATTAAAATAAGTTGATCTATATTTGTAAAGCAAATTTTTAAGAATTGGTATGCTTTTAAATAACAGAAAGTTAACATATTTCAAGCAATGCTTGTATATAATTTTTGCAAAAGTAATTCTTCACACAAAAACCCGCTCAAAAAATAAGGATTTTAAGCTTGCTAATATATCCTATTTAGTATTTTTTTCCTTGTTTGTTTCCTTTTCTTTTTTTATACCCTTGCAGGGTATTATAATTTCAGTCAGAAGTTTGCAACGCAGTAAGGGAGGCACCTCCGACTATATAAAGTATATATATTCTTGATCAGGATCAACAGCCGAGTCGATCTAGCCATGTCCGTCTGTCCGTCTGTCCATCTGTCCGTTTCTACCCAAACTAGTTTCTCAGTTTTGAAGCTATCTGAATAAAACTTTGTAGTTAGCCTTCTATATACTCTCACTCGTATATATGTCGGAACGGACGACTATATCATATAGCTGCCATTGGAATGACCGGAAAATTTTTAGAAAAAAATTATAACATTTTCAGTTTTCGACAGATTTTCATCTAGTTTGAGGTATAGCCATTTTATATTAGTCTTAAATTTTGTGTAAAATTGCATGACAATCGGACGACTGTGCCATACAAACGATCGTTTGATGTAGAGGAAAAATGCAAATCTGTGAACTGCAAATATAAATATGTTTAGGTGAATGAAATAAAAACAGGTGTTACTTCATTGTTTTTAATCATAAATATATATAATTTATATTGTAGGGATTCCTAGTCATAGAAGTTCTATGTGCAAGGGTATATAAACTTCGGCGTGCCGAAGTTAACTTCCTTTCTTGTTAAATTTGACTTTCTCTACCCCAAGAAAAATGGTTTCCCATCTCTTCCTTACCCATATGCCTTTTGTAATTTGTCTTTTAAGCCTGAACAGACTCTGCCCTCATCAATTATAAATGTAATTTTACGTTAATCCGCTTAAAAACGAAAAGAAATTCAATTTGGAATCCTTGGCAAAGGACTGAATGCCACATTTTTCCAACTCACTGACTGATGCGATTTGCCAGTTAGATTCATATTTCAAGATCAGCTCAATTTGGGCATTTAAAGTCACTCTGAAAAAAAATTACTTGTTTTCTTTAAACACACATATGTAAATGATTGGATTCCGAAGACTATTTGTAATTGTGGTCTGCTGGACTCGCAGGATGATGGTTCAGTGCGAGGACTCGGTAATTCGCTGTTCGCGACGACATCGCCTGAAAATCGTGAACGTACTTCATCCATTTTCCGCTGTTGTCCTGCTCAGTGTCATTGGATTCCTGTTTGTCTACGATGTGGTGTATGTGGTGCCGCATATACTCGATACTAGCGGCTGCTGGTACTGGCTCACCTGCCTGTTGGGTGGCTTCATCATCTTCAATATCCTTGGGAATTGGTGGTTGAGTTTTAAAACCAATACAACCGTGGATAGCTTGCCGGTGGAACGACAGACACCTGCCGAAGGTGAGGCTCATTTGTGGCATTTTTGCATTGCCTGTGACAGATTGGTGCCACCGAGGTCCTGGCATTGTCGACTCTGCCAGGGTTGCATGTTGAAGCGGGATCACCATTGCACCATCTCGGGAAGCTGCATTGGTCACAAGAATCAGCGCTATTTCATCTGCTTTCTTTTCCACTTGTGCTTCGGTTGCGGTTTGGCTCTGGTCTTCAATGGCATTTATGCTTGGCAAACAGAGTCCTTGATGACAGCCGATCCCATTTTGCTATTTAGCAAACTGTCCGCTTATAGTGAGGATGTGAATATAGACTGGAAGTACACGATCTCCACCATTTTCAAGTTGAACATGTTTCTGTTGGTAATCGCTCTCTTTATGTTTGGTTTGCAAATATTGATGGTCCATCGGAATAGTACGTGTTATACGATCTTTGATCGGAGCTATGATCTTGGATGGAGGCGGAATTTCGAAGGTGTCCTGGGCAGGCGACTGCTCTGGACACTCTTGTCGCCCACAATCAAAAGTCCTTTGCCCAACGATGGCACCCAGTGGATCGTTAAGCAGCAGGTCTAGATTTTTGGTATAGTATAACATTATGAAGCAGAATATGTGTCTTTATTTTGTTAAATTTAGAAATGGTATATTATAAATATTAAAATTACAAGGTATAACACAATGTTTTGGAATATTTATAGGCTATTGTCTTGCAATGCAACATGAACAACTTTAGCTTTAGAATATTTTGTCAAGTTTTTTAATTTATTGGAATAGAAATTAAAAATTCAACACCATGTGTGTTCTGTCAGTTATTTTGGATATATATGCTGGAAAATCTCCAGCAGAATTGAAATCAAAAATCCTTTTCACGACTTAACAGTGTGTTTATTTGTTGAGTGTGTGGATATAATTGCTAATTGGGATACTCAGAGATTCAGGGATATAGCACATCGTTTCTCAGCAAGCTTTCTATATAGCACCACGGCCTTTTTTGTTCTTACACAAATGCTTTACGTGGTTCCCCAGGTTTATGATACCAGCGGAGTAATGTATAAACTTGGCTGTTTAACAACTGTCTTCATTACCTACAATATCTTGGCTAATATGAGTGCCTGTAAGCGAACGGACACCAGCGTATGGAGTTTGCCCTGGGATCAACTATGTCCGTCTCCTGAAGACGAGTCCTTGTGGCGTTATTGTGATTCCTGTGAGAGACTTATGCCACCAAGATCCTGGCACTGCAAGGTGTGTAAATGTTGCATTCTGAAGCGGAGTCACCACTGCATTTTCACTGCCAACTGTGTGGGTCATAATAATCAGCGTTACTTTTTTTGGTTTACTTTCTACATGACCTTGGGTCTTCTCTTGTCCCTGGGCAATACCATTATTTTTATGCTGAAGAATTTCGATTACTTTTATATGATAACTTGGCTTTGGCCTGTGGCCATCTACCTGGACGAGTTTGCCAGTGGTCCCAGTCCTCCCAACTGGCTCGGTTTGACTATAATGTTCAATGCCTACATTCTCCTGCCTCCTCTGGTGATGTTCATGTTTCAAATGGTGTCCATTTGGAGGAACACTGTAATCTTTGACCTGAACAACGACTCCTACAATCTTGGGCTACGGGAGAATTTCAGATCGATTGTGGGTCAAAAAGGTCTCTGGACCTTTCTTTCGCCGAGATTAAAGAGTCCCTTGCCCCATGATGGTACTCAGTGTCCGGAGAAGAAATAAAAAGTTGAAATTTCCATTCATTAACTTATTGAAAATGAATTGGAAATCATTTTGATAAAATACATGTTGTATTTTTGAGGAACTTGCTTTGAAATTATTGTTAGACAGTAAATCCTACAACTTCAAACATAAATTCTTGTGCGTATAAATATTAGATATGGATACTGTAGAACCAACGGAGCCACCTGTAGAGGACATGGATAACCCGAAGTCTGAAGAGCCTGTTGAAGATTTGGATAATACAAGCCGATCGAAACCCGTCAACGATTCCTCGATCAAGACTCCCAAATCGACCATGTCCTACAGGGAGATCCTCTGCATAACGATAATTATTATTCTCACTCCATTCTTTTTCATTTACGACGTATTCTACGTAACTCCGCAATTATTTGGTCCCTTTGGAGTGACGTTAAACGCTATAGTTTGCACTTGGATTACTCACAATATCCTTGGAAACCTTTGGGCCTGTTTGCGGAAAAGCAGCTTGGTGGACACTTTGCCCCTTGAACTCCGTACACCTACCAAGGGGGAGGAGCACCTGTGGCGCTATTGCAAGGAGTGCGAAAGACTAATGCCACCAAGGTCCTGGCACTGCAAAATGTGCAAGTGCTGCATCCTGAAGCGGGATCATCACTGCAACTTTACTGGTAACTGCATAGGACACAATAATCAGAGATTCTTCCTCTGGTTGACCTTTTACCTAAGCCTCGGCTGCGGCTTAGTCCTTGTCTATAATTTTATTTTAGCCTGGCAGCATGGCATTGTTACAGGCAATATTTTGAACTTGTATGAGATTATTTTCCTTCAAGAATCGATGGAACCGAACTTTGGATTTAGAACCGCAATATCTATGGTCGTCTACGTGAACTTATTGTGCCTTTCTGCTACAATACTAATGTTCACTACCGAAGTATTGATGGTAAAACGTAATACTGTGATGTTTGATAAATCAAATCGGGAATATGATATGGGAGTGCAGAGTAACTTTCGCCAGGTACTAGGACAACTTCAGTTCTGGACATGTCTTTCGCCAGCTATTAACAGTCCTCTGCCCCACCTTGGCACCCAATGGAAATCTAAGAAGAGTGAATGAGTCTTTTCAGTTGAATATAAAAAATTCAGTTTGTAAAAATATATAATTCTCTATTAAGTTGTTTTTTTGAGTGCTTTGATATTACTATCAGCATTTCTCATAAACATAACATAAATTCTTGTCAACAATACTAAAAGAAGTAACACTTTATTTTTGGTTTGGACTTAGGCATTAAAGGCATATAGTTTTAAAATATGTATAACACGAACCCAAAGGAGCCACCTGTAAAGGACTTGGATAACCATGAACCTCCAGAGCCCGTCGCAGAGTTGGATAATCAAAACCCATCGGAACCTGTCAAAGATTCCCCGATCAAGACTCCCAAATCTAGCATGTCCTGCATAGAAGTACTCTGCATAACCTTAATTATTATACTCACTCCATTCTTTTACGTTTACGATGTGTTCTACGTAATACCGCAATTAATGGGTCCCTTTGGAGTGACTTTTCACGCTATAATAGGCACATGGATTTCCCACAATATCCTTGGGAACCTGTGGGCCTGTTGCCGGAAGACCAGTTCGGTGGATACTTTGCCTCCGGAACACCGAAAACCTCCTAAGGAGGAAGAGCATCTATGGCGCTATTGCAAGGAATGCCAAAGGGTAATGCCACCAAGGTCCTGGCACTGCAAGATATGCAAATGCTGCATCCTGAAGCGAGATCACCATTGCAATTTTACGGGTAACTGCATAGGACACAATAATCAAAGATTCTTCCTCTGGTTGACCTTTTACCTGAGCTTTGGCAGCGGCCTGGCCCTCATCTATAATTTTATTTTTGCCTGGCAACATGGCTTTGTTTTAGAGAATATTTTAAAGTTGTATGTGATGGCGTTCCTTGAAGGTTCGATTGAACCCAACTATGGATTCAGAGTGGCCATATCTATGGTTGTCTATGTGAACATATTGTGCGTTTTATTTCCAGTAATCATGTTCATCTTTGAAGTGCTGATGATCCAACGTAATACTGTGATGTTTAATAAATCAAATCGGGAATATGATATGGGAGTCTGGAGGAACTTTGGCCAGGTACTGGGACAATGTCAGTTTTGGACTTGCCTCTCGCCAGCTATTAACAGTCCTCTGCCGCACCTTGGCACCCAGTGGAAATCTAAGAACAGTAAATGAGTCTTTTCAGTTAAATGTAACAAATTCAGTTCGATAATATAAAATTGTTTCCTTGTGTGCTTTGATATTGTAGTCAACATTTTCCTTAACTTAGAAAAGCCTAGATACACTTAGAAGCGATCTCCCTATATCTGTAAAACATGGCTAACGTGAATTCTACGACTGATAATTTCGTGAAACGCATTTACAAGGATCCCTACTGTTGGCTGGAACCCCTCTCAATAATCGTGCTCATCGTCTTGACCTGTTTCTATTACATTTATGATGTGTTCTATGTGGTGCCGCAGTTACATGGTTTCTTTGGACAGACAATCAACTTCTTGATCGCCACTTGGATCGTTTACAATATTTTCGGAAATCTTTGGGCCTGCTGCAGGACAACAAGCTCAGTGAACACGTTGAGACCGGAACTAATGCAGCCTGTAAAGGGAGATGAGTACCTTTGGCGATATTGTGATAAATGCGACAAACTAATGCCACCGAGAGTCTGGCACTGCAAATCTGCAAATGTTGCATTCTAAAGCGTGATCATCACTGCAGCTTCACGGCCAATTGCATTGGACACAACAATCAACGTTACTTCATCGCGTTGAACTTTCACCTTACCCTTGGAGCTGGCCAGGCTCAGATCTACAATTTCATCATGGCCTTAAAGCATGGCTTTAATCGGGAAAATTGGTTGCCGATATTTTTCGATGAAGCTTTCGCTACGGATGATTCGGACATTTTGTTTTCATACCTAATGAGAACCATCTTTTACATTAACCTGATGTGCTTTGTATTTCCCTTGCTGGTGTTAAGCTGGCAAATTCTATTGGTCGTAAACAATGCGGTTTCTGCGGACTCTACCGATCGCACATATGATCTCGGAATAGGACGCAACTTTTCCCAGGTGCTGGGAAATCGAAGATTCTTGACTTTGCTATCTCCAATGATCGAGAGTCCACTCCCCCACGAGGGTGTCCATTGGCAGTCCAAGCGTACCGTCTAAATGATACAATTTGATACCCTTATCCCAGTGTGTTTTCCAAATTATATATATATGCACGTTTCCCATGCCACCCAGAGACAACGGAGTTTTTCGCTTCATTTAATTCGACATTCGATGTGCTAATTACCATGGCAATCGGAGGGGGTTGGAAAATGCGGGGGGACTGTGCCACGTGTCAAGGTTTTATCCGATTGTCAGTTGGGGAGTGGAAATTCCTTTCCTGTGCCTTTTCTCTTTTTTTTTGAAGGGTCAATGGCGTGTGGAGTGACACTTGGAACGGAGAAGAATTGGTGATTTTAATGTCTTTTTAAAGTTACTAAGGGAGAGGCAGATAAGTTTTGTTCAGATAAGACCCAAGGGAAAAACATATGGTTTCTAGGAAATATGTTTGATAAGAAAACAATAGGTTAAAAGAAATAGCCTAATAGATTATAGAATATATAAATAATTTTAATAGTTAAATAGTCATATTTCTCCGCAAACAAAAATCCTATAAACATATTTTCAAGATTTTTGAGACAGGTATAGTTTTTTTATGTATTAATCATAATTTTTCTTATACCTTTAGCAAAATAAAGGAAAGTTAGGATACAGCCAAGTCACCATCAAAGTTACTCTTGAATTTCTCCCCACCTTTAAGTACTCTACATTTGCATAAAGTTCCGCCCACCAAAAGATACCTCCCAGATAGCTTTCCCCTTCGTTCCAGCTAACCTCAAATCTGTCCATGGCTTGTGACACCTTCTGCCGCAAGTCGAAAACACTTGTCAAGTGTCGGAAAAGCCAAAAACCGTTTGAAAAATGAAAGCGGCTGAAAACAGGGATTCCGAACAGACAATGGCGGATATCTGGGTATCCAGGGGGACCATGTAGTAGAGGGATAGGAGAATTAATGACGGCGCATGCCAGTGACAAGACCCGGAACACGGAATCAAAGTCCAGCACTGGGCGTATCTCGTGTTTCGGTGCATGAAAAATGTTCGAGGTGCGAAATCTGTTGCGGGGTCTAAACAACATAATTGCCAAATAAAAAAGTCGCCGCCGGCTCAAACCGGCTGACCATTAATCAAAACTGGTCCTTTGGCCCTCTGAAAAATGAGCAGAGCCATTCGAGAGGAGCGCAGGAGCACAGGAGCACACTCGGAACAGCTGCCTCCGGCGATGGGTCCGCTGAGAAATGGCATTGTCAACACTTTTAGGCCAATCGGAAGGCGGGGATTCCCATTTCCCCGGCCGGAGTCAGTCAGCGACATTTGTTCCGGCCATCGCTTATTGCGACGTCAATATCGATGCTCCCAATTCCGCCCTCAATTTCTATTCCCATTCCTGTATCGAGTCCGCCTCCCACCGACAACTGATGACCTCCAATACGAAGCGGGTTCCGATTCCTGATTGCAGCTCACTCATTTGGGCGACTTCCGTTGACCAGCAACGGACGACGAAAAAGACATCTGGCCAGCAAAAGGTACTTTAAAGAATAGAGTTCACATAAAACTAGGCAAGACCAAAAGCGACGACTTCCCTCACATTAGCACTCGAATAATCATACGCCGCATTGTCCCACAGCCGAAGAGGAGGAGGAAGGGGAGCCAGGACCTGTCATCGCATCTGTTGTGGATATTTGAATGTGCCGTCAACAAGGCCCAGGGAAAACGTTGGCATATCAGGCATTCGGATTTGGAAAGGGATCGGGTACAGGAATGGAACTTTAAACTGCGGGCCTTTCTCCGATGGAAGAGGAGGGGATTGAGGAGCTCTGTGCGTCCTCAGACACAGATAGCAACCACTGCCAGGAGCCGGTCTGCTAACTGGTTGGTTGACTGCCCCCTTTTACCTCATCCCAGCCCAGCTCCTGGCCCAATCTCGAACTCATACTCGCTCCTCTGTGCAGGACAAAATTTACCGCTAAGCATTTGCCAACAACGTGGCACTGTTCAAAGGACAAGGGGGAAAAATAGGACATGTAGACAGGATAGGGACTGGGACTGAGACTGGAATGACACACACGGATGCTGCTGGTCGGGATCATGGGGGTCATTGTAATCATAACGGTGGTTCTTTCCACGACAGGATATATTCCTAAACAGGACAAAGAGTGCGCAGAAAAGGCGCCAAATTAGTCAAATTGTTTAGTCACCAAACAGGGTGCCTGCAGGATAATGTAGTCTAAGTAATTCAGAATCCTTTCATATGGATAATTCTGCACATTTCCCATCCCTTTTGGACATTTTAATTCAATTTCAAATTCTACATTCCCTGCTCTTTTGGCAATCTAACAAAAGCAATTGAGTGGACCGGCTTTTTCTTGCCGAAGAAGTCCTTTTGCTCGCTGAGATTGTAGCTGCGCTGCTGCTGCTCTGCTGGTGCTCTGCTGGTGCGCTGCTTTTCCTGATTTCCTCTGCTTTTCCGCTGCTTTCCTCTGCTACGTTGCTGCCCTTGGATGATGGACAAATGGCAGTGCAGAGTGAGCCACTAAGCAGCGACAGTTTTTATGATTTTTCGGTTTGAGCGCTCGCTTTCCTTTTCTGTTTGTTTTGCAATTATTTCCCCTGTCGCAGGATGTGGACTGTAACTGTTACTGTTGCCATCTCTTTCGCTGTTAACTCACCCCCGAAAAATGTCGTCCTTTTATTCCCCGCAGTACTTGCACTTTGTTTTCGTGGCGCGGTAAGGGAATAAGCTCTTGTTTTTCCATATTTTCTTTGAAATTCGAGACTCGGCTCGCTTCAGTTTGAATTTAAGGAATTTGCATACATTTCACGTGGCCTGCACTCAGGTACATGTGTCACTGTCTCTGGGTTTGTGGGTAATTTCATTTGCACGAAGTGCTTTCACCTCTGTCCGGGAAATTCCTCGACGCTCACTTGGCTTTTTCTCGTATTTGCATTCGCCTGTCGCCCCTCCCCCTGTGAGAGAGACCCTTTTCTTATTATTATTCCCCGCACCCCATTTTATTTGCCCGGCACTTCACAGGCTACCACTTTCCCATTTTCCACCCCTCCACCCACTCACACTTGGACACACACATACCACTTTCCACACCCTCCCGACCCACCCCCTTTTGTGGTCATTTAACTGATGTTTCTATCTCTTGCAGACTTTCTTTTTGTCTGCCTCCCTCCAGGTTTTCCTCGCTTTCTCCCTATTTTTCCTTCGGCCTTTTCCGGCCAGCAAATGGCAAATGCTGAAATCGTGCGAAAAATTAAATAAATGACCAACCCGATTTTCCCATTCCCATTTCGATCGGGTTTTGCCCTTATTTCCACCTTATTTATGGCTCAAATGTGCTATAATTTTGCATTGATTTCCATTTACCTTTTAAATTTATGACTCGAGCGAAGTTAGCTTCTTGAATACTTGATATTTCATTTATAACATAACAATTTTCTTATTTTATATCAGATAAAGTTAACGTTTCATTTGTGGATTTCTGGTTTCCTGAAGAGCCTGTGAATGGTTAAAGGTATTTTTACAATTTAAATTCATAAATACCTTTGCATTTATTAAGGATCCATGCAGTTGAAGAAAGAATCTGTGATTGTTTTATTAAATTTATTTATTTTTATACAATGTATACGTTTATTAACTTATATTTTAAAAATTCTGATTCTCAAAAGTATATTTCCCTCGTTTTACTTAATATTTCTGATATTATTTCGATACTACGAGGTATCTAAAGTTTGCCTTGCGTCAACTTTACATGGTTTTTTTCCACTGCTTTTCTCATTCTTTCTCCCTCTCTTTTCCTCTTTTGCTGGCTGTCTCTTTCTCAGCTCCACCTCGTTTGCATTTGGCAACAAATTGGCCAACGGCCTTGCAGCTCGTTGCCCGAAATTGCCTTTCATAGCGTCAATTCCATCAGCAATTTCCGCGCCAATTAAAAAATTGTTGCAACTGGCCGTTTTCGTTTTCTGGCCCTTGGCATTCACCAGTTTTCCATGCCGAGCACGCACTCGAAGCGGGGAGGGGGAGTGAGTGGGTGGAAAATGCGAAAACAGAGGTGCCAAGGGTGAATTTTCAAGCGAGAGCTTCAACTCTCTCGCTTTTCTTTTTGTTGTTCATCATAAATAAATACTGTTAATTTTTCAATTGTTCGCTGGGGCGCTTAACGGCCCGCCTGATGCCCATCCCTTGCAACCCGACAATTTTCCATTTTCCGAGGCACGTGCAATGCAATGCACATAATGGAGGAGGCTTTCCCGGAACGGGGCAAGGATGTGCCAGCGGGTGAATCCGAAATAACCATATGCCGGAGTCACAAATATGTGCTGGCCGGAAGTTTTTGGGCTACGTGGTGACGAAGATTGACAGACTAGACATTCCCATGCAGTGCAAGAAATATTTAGAACAAAATATTTTATAATACAAAAGAGATGAAAGAGTAATCTTTACCTATTATAGGGTTTATTTTGTATTTTTAATAGAGCTCGTTTCCTTAAGTAGAAGGGTTTTTGAACTGTGTACGAGCAATAAAGTTGACAGTTTCGCATCAGACGGGGAACGTGACAGCTTGGAGAAGGCATATGGGGTTGAAAATCAAGGATGAGTCGAACCAAGAACAGTGGAAGGATAAAAGGAGTCAGTCCCGGGCGGGCACGTGGTGTTGTCTGGACGACGACAAAAGTTGGAACCGGCGTCGCCACCGGATATCAAACAGTTTTGGCTTTTGCCTGTTTGCCTGTTAGCTGGAATTCCTTATCCCAATACACAACATATCCAAATGCGAGTGTCCCAAACACACACCCATTAGGAGGACATATGCCCTAAAACAGCTGTCACATCGGGAAGTTTATCCTCTCGCCCTTGGCCTTTGCTTATCACGCCGTAACGGAACTTGATGAGCAAAAGCCATTTTAATTTCAGTCACTGCCACTGCCACAGCCTCCTTCTTGACTTTCTATAAATCTGTCAGCAATGACAAGGCACATCTGTCCCATCCCATGTCACTTTGTGCCACTCTTCATCCTGCTCCTGCTCCTGCTCCTCCCACCAATTGGTATTCCTAATCGAACTAAATTGAATCACATAAACGCGACAGCGCCTCCAAAAGGATCCCCCAGA